GCTCTGCCACTGACAGCGGCCGGGTCACGGCGCCGGACTGCTTCCACAGCTCTGGCAGCTGCTACAAGGCCACCCCCCGCGTTTGCTTTTTCTTGGAAGGCAGGCAGGTACAGGGATGACCGGTCGACCAGGGAGGCCAGCCGCCAGCCGGCCGGTAGGGAAGAAGAAAGGACATGGGATGGGTGTGATACTGAATTCCAAAGTAATAACAATTTCTACTGCCTGAATTTCTCCTCACCTGCAACTAATTAATGCAATGTGAATGTTTGACACTTGAGAGACCTTGTCTTTGAGCCTCTTACATGTTGCACGGAGCTCTCACCGATTCCGTGTGTGAAATTCCATTTATGATGAGACCCAGACAACTGCTTGCACGGTGGCTGCCTGGCAGGCGGCGAGACTGCGAGTTCCGGCTGGCTGGCGGCTATGAACGGTCAGGACGAGCCCAGCAGACTGACCTGCTATCGCTGCCCATTCAGGAAAATAAAACTTGAGAAATACTATTTAGCTCTCTCCCTCAGACCTACTTGGGACTTCCACTGTCAAACGTCAAGCTTCAACTATCTGCCTTCGCCCCTCTCATTGCTAAAGTGGGCAAGTACCTGGCAAGCTGGCAGGCGCTGCTGCTGTGAATATTTTTTTAATTTTAACACTTTTTTTAAATTAATTTTAAATCTAACACTGTTTGTTTTTTATTTTCAAATGTAACACTTTTGGCCGCGCCTATTGCCATGGCGCGACGAAACGCCTGTGCCGCGCCATGCATGGTGGCGCGGCGGGAGGGATGACGTGGCGACGACCGGAGCGCTGACCGGTGACGTGGCAGGGTCTGCCGCGCCACCGATCTTGGCGCGGCGTCGCCGCGCCATCCCTCACGGCGCAATTTCCAAGCAAACTTTGTTTCCAATTTTGGAAATTTGGCTACTGTAGCACTTTTGTTTTTATTTGGCAATTAGTGTTCCATCATGGACTAATTAGGCTCAAAACGTTCGTCTCGCAGTTTTCAACCAAACTGTGCAATTAGTTTTTTTTCGCTTACATTTAATACTCCATACATGTATCATAAGATTCGATGTGATGGTTACTGTAGCACTTTTTGAGAAACTTTTTTAGAACTAAACCAGCCCTCAAAGCTCCCCTGCCGCCTGCCGCAGCCAGTGCCAGACGCCCAGACCCGGCCTCGCGAGTCGACACCAGCGCCAGACGTAGTAGGCGTACGTACGTGGTGCTATATATAGCCTTGTACCGGTATGTATATGTATGTATGTATGCACGCATGGTACAGTAAGCGCGAGCGAGAAGCGGTAGCGTGGCGCGGTGCACCGTGCACGCGCACGACACACGAACGCCTGCACGCATGTACGAGAAGCAGCCAGGGAGGAGGGCTGGAGCTGGAGGGGTACCACACTAGTAGCAGTACAAACATGCGTGCGTGTACCGCCACTAGCAGAAGCAGTCTAGCACTGTGCTGCTGTATGCACCCTTGTACAGCAGGACGCTGGTGGTGAGGTAGAAGAGACAACCACCCCGCTACGCATGCCGGTGCCGGGGCCCCGGGGAGGGCTGCATATGCGTGCATCGCGGGCCTTTGGCCTTGCAGGCTTGCACAGCAGTACTGGATGGGCGAGTACTGACGGACAACGACGTTACCCGTCCACCCCGGCCTACTCTGCTCTCTCTCTCTCTGTTCTAACAGAGTGACAGTACAGCGGCGCCTGAAAGCTACGCAGTCTGTTCGTTTAGTCGTAAACGGTTTTTTCTTTCATACTAAATCAGTTAGTAGTAATAATTCACGATCATATACGATTGTATACGCACCAGCCGAACAGGCTATTGAGCAGGCGAGATACTACTGCTACTGCTCGCTCGCACAACAACAGCCTATCTCGATCTGGTCCACATGTGTGTACCCTACCCGCCCGGCCGAGGGAGAGAGCCATGAGCCTACAGACGACACGATGAGTACTCCTACTAGTACTAGACTAGAGAAAGATGGTGAGGTGGAGTAGAGAGGAAGTGGTACTTTCTCTGTCCCAAAGTATCTGGTCGTTTTCGCCTTCTTAAGAAACAACTTTGACAAAAATATATATTAAAAATATTAATATATATGGTATATAATTAGTATCATTTGAAAAAAATTCTTGAATCTAATTTTTTTAATAAATATATTTGGAGATACAAATATTGCACGTATTTTATATAAATCGAGTCTAACTTACGGCGTAGAAACCAAAATTGACAAATAATTTGAAACAGGGGAGTATAGTACTGTTTTCACGTATTACAGCGGCTAATATAAAAATAATACTCTACTATACAATCTATTAGACATGTGAATGCAAGTAGTCGTCCACGTCTTCCTTTTAAATTTTTAACAATTCCGGTGACAGTACTGCACTGCGCAGGCAACTTCTGCCTTCTGCCCGCTGGTCTCGACTCGCGAGGCCGGGTCTGGGCGTCTGGCACTGGCTGCGGCAGGCGGCAGGCGGCAGGCGGGAGGGGGAGCTTTGACCTTTTCCTTGCCCTTGCACCCTTTCGCGGGCAGGCCAGCGCGGCGGGCGAAACAAAGAGCGGACAAGCCATAAGCTTCCAAACAAAAAAAAAATGAAACGCTCGATCAGTCTCATCTGATCCATCAGCCTTTACGTGGCGACGACTGCCGCGCAGTGAGGAATGGCGCGGCGGCGCCGCGCTAAGATCGGTGGTGCGGTAGACCCTGCCACGTCACCGGTCAGCGTTCCGGTCGTCGCCACGTCATTCCTCCCGTGTTCGTCGCGCCATGGCAATAGGCGCGACAAAAAATGTTAGATTTGAAAAAAAAAATAGTGTTAGATTTAAAATTAATTTAAAAAAAGTATTAAAATTAAAAAAATATTCGCTGCTGTCCACAGCGGGCCGCATCGTTCTTATTAACGCAGTGCTCTCTGGTGTCCCAACCTATGCCATGGACGCGATGCTGTTACCACCTGGTGTCATCGCTGCCATTGATGCGCGTCGCAGGGCTTTCCTATGGACAGGGTCGGGGAACGCCTCGGGAGCTAGATGTTTGGTGGCCTGGGAGAGGGTGTGCCGAGCAAAGGAGGATGGCGGTCTCGGCATCAGGCGGCTGGACACTCAGAATGCCTGCCTGCTTCTGAAACTTGTTCATTGCCTTCATCATCCGCAAGGGTCAGCCTGGGACACACTGGGCCGCGCTGAGAGACCTGCTGCCAGCATATCAGCGAATCACGGCCGTGTCAGTGGGGAACGGCAGAGACACTGCCTTCTGGCACGATACTTGGCTCCTGGATGGTCCGCTTGCCCAGAAGATGCCTGCATTATTCAGCCACTTCATCGGTCGGCTGACAACAGTGAGCGACATCCTGGGCGCCGGGGTTCACAACCTCCTCTAGCAACGCCTCACTGCCCAGGCTGCAGACGAGCTGCAACAACTCAACTCACTCCTAAATGATGTCAGCCTCGACGGCACAGTGGACCAGCGCACAAGCTTCTACCAAGATGGAAATGGCAAACTGATGTCCGGCGTCATCTACCGGGCATCAACGAGAGAAGAACAGCCATGCCCCTCCTTCAAATTTGTCTGGTGCAACTTTGCTCCGCCAAGGGTTAAGTTCTTCGGATGGCTACTAACCAAGAACAGAATCAACTGCAGAACAGCCTTGGTGCTCAAGAACATCCTCCAGAACGCGGTTTGTGAGATTTGTGGGGACGCAGATGAATCAGCCGATCACATCTTCTCAGCCTGCAACTTTGTTCGTGACTTCTGGCACAGAATTGGCTGGAACCCGGAGGGAATTGCTCCAGTCACGGAGCTCTGGCAAACCCAAACCCCGCCCAGAATCCATGAAGATGTTGCTCACCCCGTCATCCTCCTATGCTGCTGGGAAATTTGGAAACACAGGAACGAGGTGGTTTTCAGAGGACTACAGCCGAACGCCTGGTTGCAGCGTGCAAAGAATCCGCTCGCTCATGGGCATGCCGGATCCCTAGACGGAATGCTTCCCTTGCTGCTAGATGGAGTAATTCATTTGATATGTAATCTCCTCCACTTCTTTAGCAAATTCCTGTAATCATATTTGTACTTAGGGGCTTGACCCCTTCCACCAACTGGCCACGCTGGCATCTGTGGAATGCAATTCAGGTGAGGATCATTTTGATCCTCCCCGTCGTTGACCTCAAAAAACTATTTAGCTCTCATGAACCAAAGATTTAGATCGGTCTCAACTCAACTCTCAAGGGAGCTCTGAAGACTTTGTCAAAAAAACTATTTAGCTCTCATGAACCATTTCTCTATTTAATGGGCCATACCTGCACAATTCAATTGGAGGGAGCACCTTTTAACTTCACCATACACTTCAGTCCTGCCACTAACAAGGTGAGTAAATTCTATCATGCTATCTAAGGTAGAAGAAAAAATGTTATCCTTGAATCTTACATATCAGTATAAAAAATGTTCAAAATTCTAGATTGTGTACAGGACTTTCACGAAACTCTCTCTCTAAAGTAGAAAACCGCTTAACAAAACCATGTAGACAGACTTGATTCTTGTGGTAGTGTGCAAGAACATAACCAAACAACTAAAGAATCTCAAGACTCTCAATATCATTGAGGATGCAAAGTACCATAACCGCGGCCAATTCAAGGAATCCCACATCTCATTGAGAAAAATACCAATACAAGAAATCCCAGATGCAAACTAATAGCAAAACCACAGCTTACTAAATGTTAGTTATTGAACTATGAATGATGAAAGCACAAGGGAGCCCAAATGTCAAGCCAACTAATGGGGTTATTTAGTGAAGTCTCCAGAATGTGCAACAAAAATTAGGCAGGGAAATATGTTGTTAACATTTATGGAACTTATCCATTATGTATTTTTAGCATATACAAATAGATTGACATCATTGTCTAAAAATTGAAATGAGACTCAAATCTCTCTTTTTTTTACCTGACATCAGGCTCGAGTCACGTTCGAGCTAGCCAAAAAAGTATGGGCACACTTAAATAATTGCACATTCTAACCTGGTGTCACAAGACGAGCAACCTGCAAGCAGTCTTGGCACATCTCTTACAACCTGAAATAATAAAATAGGTGTCTGAGCACCAAGAATCTGGAAAGAGGATGTTTCTCAAAATAAATTAATTTGTGACATGGATAATTTGAATCCTACTATACTACTGCATGATGCTTCATAGGAAGTCTACAAATATGAGAAAAAATTACCATGTAAATGTGGTCATGCCATATTTATACAAATTTGTATTCCCCCAAGTGCACTTTGTTTCTCATATTCACTATTATCTAGAAATAACAAAGACCATCAGTTTTTTTTGGGTGAACAGGAATCACAGAGCCAATTAGGTTCACAAGATTCAAGTTTCAACAATGTCTCAAGCATATTTTTGGAGAAAAACAGCTTAAAGAAGCTTTCATTGTCGCCAAGCTTGCACACGACCAGTTTACAATTCTTATTTCTTATTAACCAATACCAATTTAGAGGTGCTCCATATTTAATTTCAACACAAGACCTTCATGGAGCAAATTAACCAGACTATTTCTAACTACTTATGATTGATGCAATTATAACAAATTTCTTTTTATCTTACCAATTACCATACCTGTGAGAATGGAGGCCGTATGATTTCAAGAATTTTGTCCAAGCGGTCTGTGGTGTCGATGTGGCTGATGAGTGGGAAAACTTGGAGACACGAGTTCATCCTATTCTGCAGAATATGGAACTGATCTGCCTGCTTCTTCCCTGTGAAGAGGTGGTATACATAGTTGTTGTTTTGGCAGGATGTGACAAGCATGTAAGCCTCACGAAGAATCTCTTCAAGATTGTTAAGACCGTTCCTAGTCTCTGGATGTTCCATCATCTCTGGAGTCTGCAGCTTTTTCAGGAGGTCACTGATTATCTGCACATGGTGGACTAGCTGCTGGCAGGTCTTCTTGTTATGGCGAACAGTCTGAGCTGCCTGCACAATCATCACGACAAGCTTGACAGCATCAACCCCTGCAAGCTTCGCGATTTCCATTTTCTCTCTGCTTTATTGGTTGCCTGCGGTACAAGTGATGAAATTGGACTGCTGCTGCTACAGAGTTATCATCCAAATAGAACAAGAACAATCTTTTGCAAACAAGCTCTGGCCAACTAGGTGGATGAAACAAGCTCTGAGGAAGCAAGGTAGATGGCAACAACAATCGTCTAATGACTAATGGTGAACTAGTCCACAATGAAAGACAAAGAGAAGCAGCAGTTGTCATACGCGTAGCAGAAGTTGTCGACAAGGGGTCCCACATTGGCAAGATTTCCAACTTCCATACTACTACAGTGACCCTTTTGGAACTAGTATATAAACCATGGATAGATCAGTGGTGGGAGTGCTGATTGATACTGCACTCGAAAGTGTGTTTTGACTCATCAATGATGGTGCAACTACCTGAATATCTTACATGCAATGCAATTCGGACATTTGATACCTGAGAGACCTTGTCTTTGATCCTCTTACATGTTGGACGGTTTTTAGCCTTTGATCCTTGCTGCGTGAACCGTCCTTTCTGAACCAAGGCTGTGTGGCATTTCCACGAACACCTTGTGCTCGCCCTGCACGCAAACGGATGATTGTGATGAACTGATGAACACCGCCGGAAAACCCCACAAAATGTTCAGGATCAGATAGTTGGGTTCGCTACAGACAGCGGAATGCCATGACATAAAATGTCCCCTTTTCTTGATTTCCGTGGAGAACGAGCTCCGCGGCGACGGCAAGAGGACTCAACGCCTGACAGCTGGCTGACACGTCCTGCTCAACCCTCCAGGTGCCGTGCCGACGCCGACGCCGATCCATTACCGGAGAAGAGACGGCACGCTTCCCAGCATTTCCACGAACAACTTAGTCACAGTCTCACAGAGTCAGAGCAGCGCGCCACGGCCCGGACACCTCCGGTCCTCCGCTCTACCTCCTTTCCGTGGTTCCCGGAATGGTCCGATCCCATCGCGGGACCTAGTCGCGGCTGCCTAACTGGCGAGCTAGCACGTCCTGGATCAGTTCAGTGCGGCGAGACCCAGGGAACTGCTTGCACGGTGGCTGCTCACCGGGCGGCGAGACGGCGAGGTCCGTTCGGCTGGCACCTGCAGCTTTGAACGGTCAACACGAGCCCAGCAGATTATTCTTCTCGTTTTTTTAGAGAGAGAGAGAGGAGCCCAGCAGATTAATCTGTACGGATTGATTGGTAAGCCCACGAGGCCGATAAATAGTGGGCCGGAAGGGTGTGAGAGTTGAGAGAGCGGGGTGGCCACTCACCCACATCGCGCGTATGTCTTCGCCCCACTCTGCCTCGCTGCTCCTTCCACCAGATTCACTAGATCCACTGCGCGTGAGAGATCCAATGGTGGTGGGGACTGTGGCGCCGGCTATAGGGGTTGCGAGGGACTGCGTGTCGAGCCCACGAGCCCATGATACCAGCGGCCACGAAGGGGTCCCCGCTGGCCTCATAGTGAGCGGAGTCCATCTGGTCGATGGTGGCGACGGCGCAGCTGCTCCGATGAACTCCACAGGCCGACGAGCCTCCATTTCGCAAGCAGCAAGGAAATGTTGCGATGTGCTGAAAACGCATGTTGCAAGCGCATGTTTCAAGTGTTCCAAATGTTTCCGAGGTATTTTGCAATTGTTTCAGATGAATGTTGCAAAAGTATATTAGAATGTTGCATATGTTGCAATGGTTTTACACGTATGTTACAAAAGGTCTGTTCTTAGTGTTTCATCTATGATTTTGGACGTATTGTTTCAAGTGTGTTTATTTGGATGTTGCATACGTTTCACACATATGCTGCAAATGTTTTATCTGGATATTGCGTATGTTTGCAACGGTTTTCAAGTTGTTTTCATGTGTTTTTGGAAGTGTTTCAGAAGCGTGTTTCAAATGTTTCATTTGTCTTCAGACGTACGTTGCAAATGTTGCATCTGAATGTTTAAAAAGTAGATCGGGTGTTGCACTTGTTGCAATGCACGTGAGAAGCGGAGAGGACGAGAGCAGTCCTGTCGATAGAATATCGTCGGCAGTCCACTGAGGGGGTATCCCGTGATGGTAGATTTATCGGTGGGGGTGCGCGTAATCAGGAATCCGATGGTGACACAAGGCGCAGAGACAGCGATTTAGACAGGTTCGGGCCGTCTGATTGACGTAATACCCTACGTCCTGTATCTTTGGTGTATTGTATTGAGTATGAGATGTATCGATCTAGATGGATCGTGTCCGCTAGGGGACCCCTACCTCTCCTTATATAGTCTGGAGGGGCAGGGTTCCAAGGTAAGTATCATATTTGGTACTATATAATATCTTGTGGTGCAAGCCGAGCAGCGCCGTGCACGCCTCGATCTTGTGGGCCGGGCCACCTCTGATGGTGCGGCCTATGTCTTGTCTTGAGGATACCGGGGGTCGTACCCCCACAGCTAGTCCCCGAGCCTGACAGTAGGTGACGTAGTCACATGGTGCCAGGGTCATAAAGTAGAAGACCAGCCGAGCAAGCAACCAGTCCCCGGCGCGTAGCCTCGAGATGAAAAGCAAGCACATTCACCGCAAGGTGAAGTGTGCCCACTTAGTCCCCGAGCCTGCTGAAAGATGAAGAATGAATCTTGTAGCAGGGTCAAAGAAAAAGAAGTCTGAAAGCTTGCTGACGTCGTCTGACATGCACGTATCAAGACCCCAGACGTGCTGCCCAAGATCAGCACCCTAATCCGAACAACATGGAGCAGCTTGATAACACACTGACGAGACGTAGCAAGATCCGACCACCAAGGGAGCACCGAGGAGTCCCCGGCGTCGCTGGTGATGACCGAGCACTAAGGAGCGAGGAGTCCCCGGCGTCGCTGGCGATGACCGAGCACCAAGGGAGCACCGAGGAGTCCCCGGCATCGCTGGTGATGACCGAGCACCGAGGAGCGAGGAGTCCCCGGCGTCGTTGGCGATGACCGAGGAGCGAGGAGTCCCCGGCGTCGCTGGCGATGACCGAGCATCGAGGAGCGAGGAGTCCCCGGCGTCGCTGGCGATGACCGAGCACCGAGGAGTCCTCGGCGTAGGCGGTGATGTTCGAGCACTAAGGAGCGAGGAGTTGCTGGCGTCGCTGGTGATGTCCGAGCACCGAGGAGCGAGGAGTCCCCGGCGTCGCTGGCGATGATCGAGCACCGAGGAGCGAGGAGTCCCCGGCGTCGCTGGTGATGTCCGAGCACCGAGGAGCGAGGAGTCCCCGACGTCGCTGGCGATGACCGAGCACCAAAGAGCGAGGAGTCCCCGGCGTCGCTGGCGATGACCAAACACCGAGGAGCGAGGAGTCCCCAGCGTTGCTGGCGATGATCGAGCACCGAGGAGCGAGGAGTCCCCGGCATCGCTGGCGATGACCGAGCACTGAGGAGCGAGGAGTCCCTGGCGTCGCTGGCGATGTCCAAGCACCGAGGAGCGAGGAGTCCCCGGAGTAGGCGGCGAGGTTCGAGCACCGAGGAGTCCCCGGCGTAGGCGGCGATGTCCGAGCACCGAGGAGTCCTCGGCGTAGGCGGCGAGGTCCGAGCACCGAGGAGTCCTCGGCGTAGGTGACGAGGTCCGAGCACCGAGGAGTCTCTGGCGTAGGCGGCGAGGTCTGAGCACCGATGTAGCTGACGACGTCCGTGCGGTGAAGTGTGCCCACTTAGTCCTCGAGCATGAAGAATCTGAGGGCTGAGGAGTAACCGGCGTCGCTGGAGATGAAGCACGAGCGACAAACAGTCTGGTCGACTGATCGGTGGCGAAGTGAACATTGAGTAGAAGCGACCGGCAAACAGTCCGATCAACTGGTTGGCGACGGAGTCCATGAACCAAGCGGTCCGACCAGTTGATCGGTGGAGAAGTTCGAGCACCAGGTGGTCCGATCACCTGGACGATGATCCTGCAATACAAACATGTTGAACGGGTAGTACATGATGTAAAAATAAATGAACTCTTAGAGAAAAATTAGCAATGGTGATGAAACGGCGTATGTAGTTCGGCGATCAGTTGGCATGAAAATATATTTATGTTTAATATAAACCGCCCGAACAATGAGTGTGTAGTTGAGTCTCTAGCCCTAGCTAGCCCATAGTACATAACGTCGAGCGCGGAGCCCATGCACGTGTAGGAGGAACAGGCGTGACCAAGGAGCCGCTGCCGACCACCCATAATGCAGAGCGCGGAGCCTGTAGCACGTGTAGGGAGGAGCCGGAGACATGGCCATCTCTGGAGGCGTCCGAGCATCAACGCGATTGTTCAGGAGTTCGGAAAATTGTTTGGAGAGCAAATATAGAGAAAACAGTTCGGAGAAATATCATGGCGATATACGGAGATTGGAGAATATTTAGGAAAATATTAAAGCGTGACTTAGCTTTGGACGGAGCGTCTGGTCGGTGGCGTATGGCGTTATCTGGTCGGCGTTGACGGCGAACACCCGGCGGGCGGTGAGTTGTTGGTGAAGGCGACCTCGGAGGTGGTTTCAAGATCGGATCTGCTGTCGCAGGGGTTGGTGTAGCAGCGATGAATCGTCGTCGTCGACCGGCATGGATCTCCACGAGATTGATGACGAGAACGCGCTGTTGATTTGAGGTCCATCTGGCTCGCCATGGATCAAGCGCACACTCCTACTTGGCGCGCCAACTGTTAACAGAATATCGTCGGTAGTCCACCGAGGGGTATCCCACGATGGTAGATTTGTCGGTGGGGGTGCGCGTAATCAGGAACCGGATGGTGACACAAGGCGCAGAGACAACGATTTAGACAGGTTCGGGCCGTCTGATCGACGTAATACCCTACGTCCTGTGTCTTTGGTGTATTATATTGAGTATGAGATGTATCGATCTAGATGGATCGTGTCCGCTAGGAGACCCCTGCCTCTCCTTATATAGTCTGGAGGGGCAGAGTTACAAGATAAGTATCCTATTTGATACTATATGATGTCTTGCGGTGCAAGCCGAGCAGCGCCGTGTACGCCTCGATCTTGTGGGCCAGGGCACCTCTGATGGTGCGGCCTATGTCTTGTCTTGAGGATACCGGGGCCGTACCCCCACAGGTCCCCACGCGCGGTCTGGCTGCGTGGGTGGCGTCCGGGCGGTGCGGGGCCCGCATGGACACGTGAAACCCAAGCGCAGGCGGGGTCGTGCCGGTTTTTTTTTTGTGCGAGCGCGGGCGTGGATTGCTTGTGCGAACGCGGGCATCCAGACGCGGGCCTTGGGCCGGACGTCTGGGTGCTAGCTGTCCCGTTATAAATTAGATTTCAGTATTTCTCGAAAAATAGTATTTTAAATAAATATTTATTCTTGAAAAATATTTGGATATTTGAAAACATATTTCTAAATTAATTTTTAAAATCTAGTTGACGTCCTAAACTATTGCGAAGGTCTGATTTACCACGCTCGTGTCTGACGTGGAGCTATCTCACCTAAAATCGTTTCCAAACCGTTTAGAGAGCTAAATCAAACGGTTTAATGGAGTCTAAAAATCTGATTTTAGGCAATAGTTGAAGCAAGTTAAATGGACGTTTTCTGCAAATTTTGTGTGCCCATTGAATGGTCAGCTCATGAGGCCCATAAATAGTGGGCTGGAATGGAGTGCGAGTTGGAAGAAGGAAAGAAATTGGAAGTTTATCGGCCTAAACACAGCCCACCGTCCACATCCAGCGCGCACGGCCCATGAGTAAACGTGACAAATCTTCCCTTTTTCTCTTTTGTATAAGCTTATTGTTTTTATTATGTGTTTTTTATGTGTCTCCTTTACTTTTTTTTGAGAAATACAGTACAACGTCACAACACGCACTAATTTTTCTGCCTCAATAGTCCACGGAAACTCTGGCCTAGAAGGTTCAGGCCAACCGGCAACCCTAGATGTCGTAATGCCTAACTCCTCTATTACCATGTTTCTAGATCCGCCACTGATCTTACCTTCAACGGTTCAACCTAAGTAGGGCCATCCATGCTCTCTAACTGAGTGCTTCTTGC